CTACACTCAGGCCAGTATCCCCATATAGACCCACACCTTCCCCTTGATCTACCCACCCCTAAACTCAGGTCTATGTGTCCCATGTAATCCCACACCTTCCCCTTGATCTACCCAGCCCTACACCCCGGTCTATGTGTCTCATGTAGTCACACACCTTCCCTTTGATCTACCCAGCCCTACAACCCGGTCTATGTGTCCAATGTAGTCCCAAACCTTTCCCTTGATCTACCCAGCGCTACACCCATGCCAGTATGCCCCATATAGTCCCACACCTACCCCTTGATCTACCCACCCCTAAAACCCAGGTCTATATCTCCCATGTAATCCCACACCTTTCGCTTGATCGTCCCAGCCCTACACCCCGGTCTAGGTGTCCCATGTAGTCTTAAACTTTCCCCTTAATCTACCCAGCCCTACACCCAGGCTATATGCCCCTTGTAGTCCCACCCCTACCCCTTAATCTACCCACCCCTACACCCCGGTTTATATGTCCCATGAAGTCACACACCTTCCCCTTGATCTACCCAGCTCTACACCCAGGTCTGTGTGTACCATGTAGTCTCAAACCTTCCCTTGATCGACCCAGACCTACACCCAAGTCTAGGTGTACCATGTAGTCCCACACCTTCCCTTAATCTACCCAGCCCTACAACCCGGTCTATGTGTCCCATGTAGTTCCACACCATCCACTTCATCTACCCAGCCCTGCACCCAGGTCTGTATGCCCCTTGTAGTCCTACACCTTCCCCCTTGATTGACCCTGCCCTACACCCAGGTCTATGTGTCCCATGTAGTATGTGTCCCATGTAGTCCAACACCTACCCCGTGATCGACCGAGCGCTACACCACGCTCTATATGTGACATGTAGTTCTACACCTTCCCCTTGATCGACCCACCTCTACACCCGATCTATGTCCCATGTAGTCCCACACCTTCCACTTCATCTACCCAGCCCTACACCCAGGCCCGTATGCGCATTGTAGTCCCACACCTGCCCCTTGATCGACCCAGTCCTACACCCAGGTCTATATGTCACATGTAGTCCTACACCTTCCCTGTGATCGACCCGGCGCTAAAACCAGGATCTATATGTCCTATTTAGTCCTACACCTTCCCCGTGATCGACCCAGCCCTACATCCAGGTCTGTATGTTCCATGAAGTCACACACCTTCCTCTTGATCTACCCAGCCCTACACCCAGGTCTATATGTCCCATTTAGTCCCAGACCTTCCCCTTGATTGACCCAGCCCTACAACCAGTTCTATATGTCCCATGTAGTCCCACACCTTCCCCTTGATCTACCCATCCCTAAACACAAGTCTATATGTCCCATGTAGCCCCAAACTTACCCCTTCATCTACCCAGCCCTACACCCAGGTCTATGTGTCCCATGTAGTCTCAATCCATCCCCTTGATCGACCCAGCCCTATATCCAGACCTGTATGCCCCATGTAGTCGACCACCTACCCCTTGATCTACGCTGCCCTAAACCCAGGTCTATGTGTCTCATGTAGTCACACACCTTCCCTTGATCTACCCAGCCCTACACCCAGGTCTATGTGTCCCATGTAGTCTCAAACCTTCCTCTTCATCGACCCAGCCCTACACCAAGGCCTGTATGCCCCTTGTAGTCCTACACCTTCCCCCTTGATTGACCCTGCCCTACACCCAGGTCTATGTGTACCCTGTAGTCTCAAACCTTCCCCTTGATCTACCCACCCCTAAACTCAGGTCTATGTGTCCCATGTAGTCCAACACCTACCCCGTGATCGACCGAGCGCTACACCACGCTCTATATGTGACATGTAGTTCTACACCTTCCCCTTGATCGACCCACCTCTACACCCAGTTCTATATGTCCCATGTAGTTCCACACCTTCCGATTGATCTACCCAGCCTACATGCTACACCCAGGCCCGAATGCCCATTGAAGTCCCACACCTGCCCCTTGATCGACCCAGTCCTACACCCAGTTCTATATGTCACATGTAGTCCCACATCTTCCCTGTGATCGACCCGGCGCTAAAACCAGGATCTATATGTCCAATTAGTCCTACACCTTCCCCGTGATCGACCCAGCCCTACATCCAGGTCTGTATGTCCCATGTAGTCTCAAACCTTCCTCTTGATCTACCCAGCCCTTCACCCAGGCCTGTATGCCCTATGTAGTCCCACACCTACCCCGTGATGGACCCAGCTCTGCACCCAGTTCTATGTGTCCCACTCCTTCCCATTAATCTACCCAGCACTACACCCAGGCCCGTATGCCCAATGTAGTCCCACACCTACCCCGTGATCGACCCAGTCCTACACTCAGGTCTATATGTCCCATGTAGTCCCACACCTTCCCCGTGATCGACTGAGCCCTACACAGAGGTCTGTATGTCCCATTTAGTCCCAGACCTTCCCCTTGATTGACCCAGCCCTACAACCAGTTCTATATGTCCCATGTAGTCCCACACCTTTCCCCTGATCTACCCAGCCCTACACCCAGGCCTGTATGTCCCATGTAGTCACACACCTACCCCTTAATCTACCCAGCCTTAAACCCAGGTCTAGGTGTCCCATGTAGAACCACACCTTCCCTTGATCGACCCAGCTCTACACCCAGGTCTATATGTCCCATGTAGTCACACACTTTCCCCTTGATCTACCCAGCCTTAAACCCAGGTCTAGGTGTCCCATTTAGAACCACACCTTCCCCTTGATCGACCCAGCCCTACACCCAGGTCTATATGTCCCATGTAGTCACACACTTTTCCCTTGATTTACTCAGACCTACACCAAGGTCTATGTGTCCCTTGTAGTCCGACACCTTCCCCTTGATCTACCGAGCCCTACACCCAGGTCTATGTGTCCCATGTAGTCTCAAACCTTCCTCTTCATCGACCCAGCCCTACACCCAGGCCTGTATGCCCCTTGTAGTCCCACACCTTCCCCCTTGATTGACCCTGCCCTACACCCAGGTCTATGTGTACTCTGTAGTCTCAAACCTTCACCTTGACTGACCCTGCCCTACACCCAGGTCTGTGTGTCCCATGTAGTATGTGTCCCATGTAGTCCAACACCTACCCCGTGATCGACCGAGCGCTACACCACGCTCTATATGTGACATGTAGTTCTACACCTTCCCCTTGATCGACCCACCTCTACACCGAGTTTTATATGTCCCATGTAGTCCCACACCTTCACCTTTGATCTACCCAGCCCTACACCCAGGCCCGTATGCCCATTGTAGTCCCACACCTGCCCCTTGATCGACCCAGTCCTACACCCAGGTCTATAAGTCACATGTAGTCCTACACCTTCCCTGTGATCGACCCGTCGCTAAAACGAGGATCTATATGTCCAATTAGTCCTACACCTTCCCCGTGATCGACCCAGCCCTACATCCAGGTCTGTATGTCCCATGTAGTCTCAAACCTTCCCCTTGATCTACCCAGCCCTTCACCCAGGCCTGTATGCCCTATGTAGTCCAACACACCTACCCTTGATTGACCCAGCTCTACACCCAGTTCTATGTGTCCCACTCCTTCCCATTAATCTACCCAGCACTACACCCAGGCCCGTATGCCCAATGTAGTCCCACACCTGCCCCTTGATCGACCCAGCCCTATACCCAGGCCCGTATGTCCTTTGCCCATTGTAGTCCCACACCTCTGCCTTTGATCGACTACCAGTCCCTACACCCAGGTCTGTAGTCACACACTTTTCCCCTTTGATTACTCCAGACCTACACCATGGTCTATAAGTCACATTTAGTCCTACACCTTCCCTGTGATCGATCCGGCGCTAAAACCAGGATCTATATGTTTTATGTAGTCCTACACCTTCCCCATGATCTACCCAGCCCTACATCCAGGTCTGTATGTCCCATTTAGTCACACACCTTTCCCTTGATCTACCCAGCTCTACACCGAGGTCTATATGTCCCATTTAGTCCCAGACCTTCCCCTTGATTGACCCAGCCCTACAACCAGTTCTATATGTCCCATGTAGTCCCACACCTTCCCCTTGATCTACCCAGCCCTACACCCGGGCCTGTATGCCCCATGTAGTCACACACCTACCCCTTCATCTACCCAGCCCTACACCCAAGTCTATATGTCCCATCTAGTCTCAATCCATCCCCTTGATCGACCCAACCCTATATCCAGACCTGTATGCCTCATGTAGTCGACCACCTACCCCTTGATCTACCGAGCCCAACACCCAGGTCTATGTGTCCCATGTAGTCTCAAACCTTCCTCTTGATCGACCCAGCCCTACACTCAGGCCTGTATGCCCCTTGTAGTCCAACACCTTCCCCTTGATAGACCCTGCCCTACACTCCTGTCTTTGTGTCCCATGTAGTCTCAAACCTTCCCCTTGATCTACCCAGACCTACACCCAGGTCTATGTGTCCCATTTAGTACAACAATTCCCCCTTGATTTTCCAAACCCTACACCCAGGTCTATGTGTCCCATGTAGTCTCAAATCTTCCGCTTGATCTACCCAGCCCTGCACGCAGGCCTGTATGCCCCATGTAGTGCCACACCTTCCCCGTGATCGACCCAGCGCTACATCCAGGTCTATATGGCCCATGTAGTCCTACACCTTCCCTGTGATCGATCCAGCTCTACACCCAGTTCTATATGTCCCATGTAGTCTCACACCTTCCCCTTATTCTACCCAACACTACACCCAGGCCCGTATGCCCAATGTAGTCCCACACCTACTCCGTCATCGACCCAGCCCTACACCCAGGCCTATATGTCCCATTTAGTCCCACACCTTCCCCTTGATTGACCCAGCACGACCCCGAGGTTTATATGTCCCATGTAGTCCTACACCTTCCCCTTGATTGGGCCAGACGCACACCCAGGTCTGTATGTCCCATGTAGTCACACACCTTCCCCTTGATCTTCCCAGCCCTACACCCAGATCTATATGTCCCATTAAGTCCCAGACCTTCCCCTTGATTGACCCAGCCCACAACCAGTTCTATATGTCCCATGTAGTCCCACACCTTCCCCTTGATCTACCCAGCCCTACACCCAGGCCTGTATGCCCCATGTAGTCACACACCTACCCCTTCATCTACCCATCCCTAAACACAAGTCTATATGTCCCATGTAGCCCCACACCTACCCCTTCATCTACCCAGCCCTACACCCAAGTCTATATGTCCCATGTAGTCTCAATCCATCCCCTTGATCGACCCAGCCCTATATCCAGACCTATATGCCCCATGTAGTCGACCACCTACCCCTTGATCTACCGAGCCCTACACCCAGGTCTATGTGTCCCATGTAGTCTCAAACCTTCCTCTTGATCGACCCAGCCCTACACTTAGGCCTGTATGCCCCTTGTAGTCCAACACCTTCCCCTTGATTGACCCTGCCCTACACTCCTGTCTTTGTGTCCCATGTAGTCTCAAACCTTCCCCTTGATCTACCCAGCCCTACACCCACGTCTATGTGTCCCATTTAGTCCAACAATTCCCATTTGATTTTCCAAACCCTACACCCAGGTCTAGGTGTCCCATGTAGTCTCAAGCCTTCCCCTTGATCTACCCAGCCCTTCACCCAGGCATATATGTCCCATTTAGTCCTTCACATCCTACCCTTGATTGACCCAGCCCTACACGAAGGTCTATGTGTCCCATTTAGCCCCACACCTTCCCCTTGATTGACCCAGCACGACCCCAAGGTTTATATGTCCCATGTAGTCCTACACCTTCCCCTTGATTGGGCCAGACGTACACCCAGGTCTGTATGTCCCATGTAGTCACACACCTTCCCCTTGATCTTCCCAGCCCTACACCCAGATCTATATGTCCCATTAAGTCCCAGACCTTCCCCTTGATTGACCCAGCCCACAACCAGTTCTATATGTCCCATGTAGTCACACACCTACCCCTTCATCTACCCATCCCTAAACACAAGTCTATATGTCCCATGTAGCAACACACCTACCCCTTCATCTACCCAGCCCTACACCCAAGTCTATATGTCCCATGTAGTCTCAATCCATCCCCTTGATCGACCCAGCCCTATATCAGGACCTATATGCCCCATGTAGTCGACCACCTACCCCTTGATCTACCGAGCCCTACACCCAGGTCTATGTGTCCCATGTAGTCTCAAACCTTCCCCTTGATCTACCCAGCCCTACACCCACGTCTATGTGTCCCATTTAGTCCAACAATTCCCATTTGATTTTCCAAACCCTACACCCAGGTCTAGGTGTCCCATGTAGTCTCAAGCCTTCCCCTTGATCTACCCAGCCCTTCACCCAGGCCTGTATGCCCTATGTAGTCCCACACCTACCCCGTGATCGACCCAGCTCTACACCCAGTTCTGTGTGTCCCACTCCTTCCCATTAATCTACCCAGCACTACACCAAGGCCCGTATGCCCAATGTAGTCCCACACATACCCCGTGATCGACCCAGTCCTACACCCAGGTCTATAAGTCCCATGTAGTCCTACACCTTCCCCATGATCGACCGAGCCCTACACAGAGGTCTGTATGTCCCATGTAGTCCCATAACTTCCCCTTGATCTACGCAGCCCTACACGCAGGTCTATATGTCCCATGTAGTCCTACACCTTCCCCTTGATTGACCGAGCCCTACACCCAGGTCTATATGTCCCATTTAGTCCCACAAATTCCCCTTGATTGACCCAGCCCTACACCGAGGTCTATATGTCCCATTTAGTCCTACACCTTCCCCTTGATCTACCAGCCCTACACCCAGGTCAATGTGTCCCATGTAGTCTCAAACATTCCCCTTGATCTACCCTGTCCTAAACCCAGGTCTATATGTCCCATGTAGAACCACATCTTCCCCGTGATCGACCCAGCCCTACACCCAGGTCTATATGTCCCATGTAGTCACACACTTTACCCTTGATCTACCCAGCCCTACACTCCTGTCTTTGTGTCCCATGTAGTCTCAAACCTCCCCCTTGATCTACCCAGCCCTACACCCACGTCTCAGTGTCCCATGTAGTCCAACACTTTCCCCTTGATCTTCCCAGCCCTACACTCAGGTCTATGTGTCCCATGTAGTCTCAAATCTTCCGCTTGATCTACCCAGCCCTGCACGCAGGCCTGTATGCCCCATTTAGTGCCACACCTTCCCCGTGATCGACCCAGCGCTACATCCAGGTCTATATGGCCCATGTAGTCCTACACCTTCCCTGTGATCGACCCAGCTCTACACCCAGTTCTATATGTCCCATGTAGTCCCACACCTTCCCCTTACTCTACCCAACACTACACCCAGGCCCGTATGCCCAATGTAGTCCCACACCTACCCCGTGATCGACCCAGTCCTACACCCAGGTCTATATGTCACATGTAGTCCTACACCTTCCCTGTGATCGACCCAGTGCTACAACCAGGTCTATATGTCCCTTGTAGTCCTACACCTTCCCCATGATCGACCGAGCCCTACACCCAGGTCTGTATGTCCCATTTAGTCCCACACCTTCTCCTTGATTGACCCAGCCCTACACCCAGGTCTATTTGTCCCATTTAGTCCCACACCTTCCCCTTGATCTACCCAGCCCTTAACCCAGGTCTATATGTCCCATTTAGTCCACAGCTGGTTAAACGCCAAGTAATGTCAAAGGATCACATGACTCGCTGTAGGGGTGAGGTGCGGTTTATTCAGATACTATATATCATACTTCAAGCCCCATTTGTGGAATAGAGCCTTATTGATTAGACCGTGTTGTGCTGATACATATGTGACCTGTTTGATGCTGTGTAGTAGACCTTGTTGCCTTGTTGCCTGGGTGCTGTGCTGTGCTAAAGTGTTTCTACTGGTGTGCTTATATTGGTGCTTGGGAATTATGGGAATTTGAAATTAGCCAATTAAAAGCTAGGAATTAGGGTCATGTGATGAACAATCATCCAGAATGAGAACATACTCTAGATCCAGCATATTTTGTGAATCCTAAACATAATAAGAACGTTTCAGATGAATGAAATTCATCTGAAATACTTGACAAATACAACCAAATATCAATATGATTGACATATGCATAAAACCACAAACTTTAGAACACTACCACCAACCTTCAATATTTTTAGTGACCTTTTTATGACTTATATAATCTTTTTATTCTTATTTTACTTGTAAACAATAAAACACTATAACACCATTTTATATTCAATAATTGTAAAATAGTTCTATACAAACAAACCAAACTGACATGAAAAATGTCTCTGCTACACACTACCCCCTATCAAAAAATGACGTCCCCGTCATCACTCAGTCAGTTATCACTCAGTTATCCTTGACAACCGACAAGAGAACATCTGATACTTTCGAAGGTAATGTGTTGTAAGTTCCACTGGTTGCAAGATGTTCCAAAAATCTTGCTTTCTCCAACCAATCTGGTGGTCGACCTGCTTGTGACATTACAAATTCACCACTAGTTTGCCATGCAGGTTTCCGTCTAGCTCTTTCTGATCGTCTGATCTGAGCATGTGGAATGTCTTGAGCAGGAGTTTGAATCCTTGTATCATTCACTGGTGCATTCTCGTGACTACTATTAGTCTCTGTGTCAATATCATCCGAAACACTGTCAATACTAGTTGCAACATCTGTGACGTTGTCTACGTCAGGGGCAACAGCAAGCTCTGTGACGTCAGAATCATTAATGACAGTTTTATCTGTAACAGAAGTGACATCAACATGATCTGTGGTATCCTGATCTTCAATCAATAATGTGGACTCTGATTCGGGTGGGGAATCACCACTGATATATTCCACTGTTCCAGTTACTTGCTCAGTTTCATCTGGCATAACGTCATCAACAAGGACTAAACTACCTTCATCCTGTTTCTTTGTTTCCATCTGTGTAACCTCAGCACCAGTCATGTTACCTGTGGGAGTATCACTGGCTGAAACAGACAAAATGACTTCGTCATCATCATCCTGTTGCTGTATGCCATTCATGTTACTTGGTACAGTTTGAATCTTGGTTCTTTTTCGTGGTTTTGGCTGTGGTTTTCCTGGTCCTGTATCCACGCTTCCAATGGGGAGAAGGTGATTCCGATGCAAAGTTCTTACTCGACCCTCCCCACACTCAGGTTCCACAACAAATACAGGTATAGTAGGGTTTGGGTGTCCTTTGACAACATAAGCATTCACTTCCCATCTGTCTGCTAGCTTATGTTTACCTTCAAAGGCAAGAGTTCTCACTAGCACTCTATCACCAACATGTACAGCTGCTCCTCTTGCTCTTTGATCATAGTTCTGTTTTTGTTTTCCTTTAGACTTTTGAGTGATATTAGTGGCTAGTTCATAAGATTTCTTCAGTCTATCACGAAGAGACGTTGTGTAGGATTGTAATGACTGGCTGGTGTGATCCCGGTCAATTCCAAATGCAAGGTCTATCGGCAATCGTGGATGACGTCCAAACATCAAATAAAACGGAGAATACCCAGTAGTTTCATGTTTGGTACAATTGTAGGCATGAACTAGAGGAGACACATGCATTTTCCAATCCTTCTTTTGGTCAGGTTGAAGAGTTCCAAGCATGTTCAAAAGTGTTCGGTTGAAGCGCTCAGTCTGACCATTACCCATGGGATGGTACGGCGTTGTTCTTGACTTTTTCATTCCGGTAATTGTACAAAGTTCTTCTATAAGACGACTTTCAAAGTTGGCACCTTGATCTGAATGGATTCTTGCTGGTAAACCATAATGTACAACGAAATGGTTCAGAAATGCTTCAGCTGTTGTACGAGCAGTCATATTTCTAGTGGGAATGGCTTGAGAATACTTGGTAAAGTGATCAGTGATCACAAGGATGTGCTGATAGTTTCCCTTTGAAGGTTCCAAAGTGAGAAAATCCATAGCAACTAGTTCCAGTGGATATGTAGTCTCAATGTTTACTAAGGGAGCTCTTGTATTAGTTGCTGACTTTCGGCGTAAACATCTCGGACAGTCCTTGACCCACTTCTCAACTTGGCTTGCCATTCCAGGCCAAAAGAATCGCTCTCTTACCAAAACCAAAGTTCTGTCTCGTCCTAAATGACCCATATCATCATGAAGACTTCTGAGAACTTGTGGACGGAGATGATAAGGTATTACCAACTGTTCAGTAAGTTCATCATCTGTAGCAGTTACTCTGTATAATACACCTTGCTTCAGTTTCAGGTTGTCAAAGCTTCGAGATAGGGCTGTAAATTCACTGGAGTGCATGTAGTCATGTCTTGGCTTTTGTGCTGTTCGGATCCATTTGATGATATCTGCAAGGGCTGGATCATGGAACTGTTCACGTCTCCAATCCTTAGGTGACATGCTCTTCAGATCATGACCTATATCACCAACATCAACTGACTCGGGGGACATGCTTAGACACTCAACATAATTGGATGCAGAAACAGAGTTACAGATAGCCTTAACAGATTCAGAAGAAATCTGACTAACTTCAGGTTCTGTTGTTTTATCTGGAATTCGTGACAACACA